TAAAATGGTAAGCATAATATAGCACTTTCCTGAGTTCTGTGTTTCATTCTGGCGAATTATTGAACATGAGGGGAGTTGTGGGAACCTCCGAATTTGTAGCTAAGTTGGACAGAGGTGTGGGTAGCCTGGAGACAAGACCCAGGACTTGTGGCTGAATTCCTTAACCTGTGGGGTCTGCCGACTCAGGGTGGTTGGTGTCAGAATCAAATTGAACTGTAGGACATCCAGTTGGTGTCAGAGAATTGGTGTTGGAATGTAAAGGGGGAGAGGTTTCAGCCCCTTCCTGCTAATCCCTGGCGGTTTTCATCTTGTAACTCTACCTCTGATAGTTCAGAAGCCCCAAGCCGCAGGCAAGATTGAGAGGTCGTGTCACCCAGCTAGCTGAGACTGGAGGGAGCAGATCCGTGGTTGTCTGCTCAGTGTCCCGCCTTTGGAGAGCCCCGCACTTGACTCCATTGCCCAAATTAGAAATAATGATATCTTCTGTGGAGTGAGCACCTGGGATGCACCAAGTACTTCTCATAATTTTGTTTTTCCTGGAAAACCAGCTTTAGTTACAGCTTCTTATTAAAGGTAATTTGAACTAGGGGGAGATGGGTAGTGGAATTTGTGGAATTAGATACAAATTAGAAATAATAGATATGTGCAAATCACACATCTGGTAAAGGACTTGTATCCAGACTCTCAAAACTGAACCATAAGAAAACAAACAACCCTATTTTTTAAAAGCAAAAGGTTTGAACAGACACTTTACCAAAGAATATGTATAAATGGTAAGTACAGGAAAGGATGCTGAACGTCATTAGTCATGAAGGAAGTATAAATTAAAACCACTGTGAGATACCATGACACACCTGTTTGAGCAGCTAACATTAAACAAGACTGACTAGACCAAGTGTTGGTGAGGATGTGGAGGAACCAGGACTCTACTCTGCCAGTGGGAATGTAAAATGGTGCAGCCACTTTGGAAAACAGTTGGACAGTTTCGTAAAAAGTTAAACACCACCTACCACGTGACCCAGCCTTTCCATTCCAAAGTATTTACCAAGAAAAATGTAAGTGTATTTCCACACAGATACATACAATGTTCATAGCAGCTTTATTTGTACTAGTCCAAAACTGGAAACAGCCCAAATGTCCATCAGCAGGTGACTAGCTAAACAAACTGTGGTACATCCATTAAAATGGAATACTACTTGGCAATAAAAGGGAATGACTTAATACAGGCAACAACAGGGATGAATCTCAAAATAATTATGCGTAGCTAAAGAAGTCAGACAAAAAAGTACATACTCTGTGGTTCTATTTATATAGATTCTGAAAAATGCAAGCTCATCTATTGTGATAGCAGATCAGTGGTTACTTGGGGATGGGGAGGTGAGGAAGAGAAGGAGGTGATTACAAAGGGGAAGAGGAAGCTTTTGGGGTGATGGAGATGTTCCTTATCTTGATCGTGGTGATGGTTTCATGGGTGCATATATATGTCAAAGTCATCAAATAGTGCATTTTTAATACATACATGTATTGCATGCCAATTATATCTTGATAAAGCTATTCTAAAAAAAGAAACAATAGAAGGGGCTGGCCCGATGGCATAATGGTTAAGTTCGCATACTCTGCTTAGGCGACCTGGGGCTCGAAGGTTCGGATCCCAGGTGTGGCCTATGCACCACTTATCAAGCCATGCTGTGGCGGTGTCCCACATATTAAGTGGAGGAAGATGGGCACAGATGTTAGCCCAGGGCTAATCTTCCTCAGCAAAGAGGAGGAGGATTGGCATCAGATGTTAGCTCAGGGCTAATCTTCCTCACACAAAAAAGAAGAAACTACAAGGAAAGGGGTCTCCCCATAGTATAATTCTACACAGAACACTGATTTCATCATCCCCACTTGATTTCATCAGCGAGGAAGGGATTATCTTGGCTTTTTGTTTTTGTTTTTTAAGCCATTTTAGGGTTTTAATTTTCCAGTGATTACTTTAAAATATTTAAACTTACATTTTCTTACATTGTATTTGATAGATACAAAAGGATGTGGCACCTCCTGTGAGTTGGGAACTGAGTTGTAAATTGAACGCCCGTGAACCTACCACCCAACCTGAGAACCAAGAGATTACCAACCCTTTGCAAATTCCGGGGTGCTTCTTTACCCCTCCCCCCGACTCCCCTCACAGGGACCATCATCTTGAATTTTGTGCTTTCTCTTCCCCTGATCCCCCAGTCGAGTTTTATCACATGTGCATGTATCACCAGACAATAGATGGTTTTGTTTTGCCTGTTTTGAGCTTTATAAAATGCTATCATATGGTGTGTAGTTTTATGTGATTTGCTGTTTTAATTCAGCACCACATCTGTAAGATCATGTGTTGTTGCATTATATGTGTTATGGTATTTCCCAGCCTCCCGACAGCCCTGCAGGCCGATGCAGGTTATGGTGTACCCGGGAAAATACAGCTCGGCAGGCTGGCCCAGGCCAGGGCCCCCTGCAGGGGCTCCTCTTCTTCACATCACGCTTGTTCCTTCACTGGGAAAGCATGACTGAGGGCCTGCTGGGTGCCAGGTGATGACCAGGTGCTGGACATGCCAGTGAACACGGCCACATTCTGGTTGTTGCCTTGACCCTTGACCTCACTTGCCTTGGTGTATGGGCCAGCTCCCGGACATCCTGGGGTGCCCACGTCTCTTCACTTACCCGCAGAATGGCTTAGAGAGGCTGGCTGACCTGAGCCATCCCAGAGGCTTCCGCCCAGGGAAGGCAGTTTGACAGTAGCTATGAGGAGGACAAACACAGCCACCTCTGAGCCAGCAATGCCACTTCAGGAATTTATCCTAAGGACACTTGAATATGTGCAGGGTGGCACTGGCACAAGAATATTGCAGCGTCCTTTGTAATATCAAGGTACTAGAAACAAATTTCCATCAATAGGGACCTAATTAACGAGTTAATTAACATTAGTTATGGGAACCGCATACAGTGGAATACCACTAGCTATAAAAAAGCAAGGAGGAGGCTCTGGTAACGGACGGCTCTGCAGGACAGATTTTGAAAGGGTAAGAAGAGAACAGTGTGAGGACTATGTTACCACGTGTATAAAAAGGGGAAGAATAAAGCATACGAGACTGCTCATATATGATAAATACTTCCAGAGGGTTCATAAGTAACTGGGACCTGGGGGCAGACTTTCATTGTATCTATTTTGTATTTTTTAAAAGTTGTATACCATGGCCAAGGGCTGCCAATTAAAAAATACATAAATAACAATTTCAGTCTTTCAGCACATATCCCGGCTTCCTGGCCTTTCTTTGGCTTTGTGCTAGCCTTTGCTGGCAGCAAATATTTTATCAGAGGCCCTTGTTTTCCCAGACCCCCCTCTTTGGCACTTTACACGCTGACGCCCCCAACCCTGGTTGTCAGACCCGGGTGGCAGCCAAGGGCTGGGGCAACCTGCCACAAGATGGCGCTCTCAGCCATCTGTTGCTCTGTGGGTGGAAGGTCAGTCTTCCCTGGGCACCAGGGGTCAGGGGTCAGCAGCCTCTGCTGAGTGGAGCCCACCTCCCCCCACACTCCTCAATTTAATCCTGCACCTCCGCCAAGAAATCTAGAAAATTGGAAGTTAAGACTTGTGTCCCTGTCACCGCCCCCATTTGGCCCATCCAGTGCCCTCCAGCAGGTGCAGACAAACCTTCAGAACTCGGAATGTGCTCTCACCCTCCTTTGGGTCTCATGGGGAACACAGCATGAGTGCCCGGTGCCCAGGAGCCACGTCTCCTCCCCTGGTCTGACTCCCCATTTCAGCCTCCCGCTCACTAAGAGTTTGGGCTCTGCTGGGGGTGGACAAGGGGACAATATGACAACCATGGGATCACCTGGGGCCCCTGCTGGGAGAACTGGGGACTGAGCTGCCATCTATCCACCACCCACCCACTCATCGTTTCATTCAGTTACCAAATATTTACCAACGGCCCACCAGGTGTAGAAAAGTTCTTATGCAAACACTTGCCTTGAACATCAGAAGGGAGATGCTGGGGCCAAACTCGAGACCCAGCTCCTGGGCCTTTGCTCATGCTCCTCCCCCAGACCCAGGGCCCTCCCTGCTCTGCAGCCCCCAGAGCCCCACCCTCTGCAGCCTGGTCCTGCCTGTGCCCCCGACCCCTCCTTTAAGGCCAGCTGCCATCCTGCCTTCTTGGCTCACCTGCCCAAAGGCTCTGGTCAGGAGCAGCCTGGTCAGTGCCTGGAGCAACAGAGGGCTCCCTGGCCTGGGGTGCGGAGCCCTCTAAGAGGGCAACGTGGGAGAATGACAGAGCAAGGCACAAAGTCAGCCACGGGGGGATGGATGTGCCCTCGAGATGCAGGCTCCAGCAGGACAGCTCCCCTCACCCAGGACTGATCCCCATCTTGGTAGTGACCCCCCTGTGAGCCCAGGGCCTGGCACTGAGGAGGCCCTCTGGGAATACTTGTTAAATGGACATGCCTAATTTCTGAGTCTAGGCCAATGATCATGCCTGTATTCAGGAATCCCGGCCTGACAGAGCTCACTGACACCGAAGCAGCAGGGGCGGGCAAGGAGGCAGCCCCAGGCCTGCGCGGGGGATACAGGTCATGGCAGGGGTCTCCCTAAGCCAGCAGCCTCCCTGGGGCTGGGTGGAGCAGCCCTTCCACAGGCCGCCTGGTGAGATCCCATATGAGGCCTGGCTGCCCTGGATGACAGTCCCTTTGTTCAAGGGACCCCCATCTGCATGACTCCTTGGCCACAAAAGAGGCCTCACACTGCAGAGCTGAGGGCTCATCCTGAGCGGGGGAGCCCAGGAGGAGAGCGCCCCTGAGATGCCCGCTGGGACCACGGGCTCTCCATCACCCTCTGCCTGGCTCCCCATGAGGGGGCCACCACCTTCCGTGGTGCATCCTCAGTGCCACAGAAGGATGTGCTGGAGGGAGGGAGGAGGGAGGAGAGAGATGAGGCAGTGGGCTCAGCTCCCCCCGACCCAGAGAGACCAGTGGAATAAAATTAAACCAGCTTTAATATCAATATAGTCTCTCTTTTAAATACCATGCTCCCCAAGACAGGGCGCAGGGGCAGGCTCTTGGCAGGAAGAGTGGAAAGGAAATGTGGAACAAAATGGAATGGATCCCCCGGGGCCCGCCCCCACCCTGCCCAGGGCCCCTGCCACGGGGCACTAGGGACTGGGCTGCCCGCAGGGGACAGGGAGGTGACAGCAGCTTCCTCTGGTCCAGTTGTTGCAGAGGCATGGGTGGGCTCCCCTCCCCACCCAGCCCCCAAACTCTTCTCAGGATTATTGTGCCCTTCAGACCAGCAGAGCCGGGGCCTGGGCTCCTCTGATCTGGGCAGGGCCCCTTTGCCTAAAAGGGACTGCGGGCTAAGGCGTGGGGGCTGGGTGGGGGAATGCCACTGGCCAGCCGGGCCCCCTCAGTAACTGCTCTGGTGGCCCGTGAGAATGTAGAGGTTGCTGTGAGCCTCTGGGTTGTCGGTGGGAATGCTCTCGAGGATGATGTCCCTGAGGGGAGAGAGAGCGGGAGGTGAGCAAGGTGGGAAGACACTGGGCGTGACCATGTGGCCTCAGGGGCGTCTGCAGGGGAGGCGGGGCACCACACCCTACCTGTGGGCCCCAAGCACTCGGAAGATCCTTGTCTCATCTGTGATCTCCTGGGTCACCTGGGAAGAAAAGGGGCACTGAGGCCACTCCAGCAGGTCCCTCCTCAGAGGGTGGGGAGCAGCCAGGCCCCTGAGTCCCACTCACCTCGTTGGTGTCGAGGCTGCGGCCTTGCATGCCGTGGCTCCAGAAGGCCAGCACGCTGTCCTGCAGACACACTAGGAGGGGCCAGGCTGCCATCAGCCCTGCGCCTGCCCTGAGGACGCTGGCTCCCCCAGCCACATCCGGGCCCAGGGCTGGGCCACAGAGGTGCTCATGGACTGCAGGTGACCAGGATGGCTCTCAAGAGAGGCTGGGGGCCCTGCCTCCTTGTCCTGCTGCCAGCTCCAGGCCCGTGGACCACATCATGTGCTCCAGGCCGGGGACACCCCGCCCCCACCTCTGTGGCTCACTCACCCACAGTCTCAATGGAGAAGTCGAAAGTCAGCACGGGCGCCAATGTGGCCGTGGGCTCACCCAGCAGGTTGACGATCCTCACGCAGCCTGCACAGGGAGAGGGCTGGTGGGCGGGGACAGGGCGGCTCCCTCTGGGCAGGCAGACCCACGTGGCTTCCCCCACCCCCACCATCTGCTGCCCCCAGCCCTGCCCCCAGGGGCACTCACGGTCAAAGCAGACTAGGATTGTGTCCCTGTCCACCTGAATCACCTGCTGGGCCGAGCCCGGGAGCCCGTCTGCAGGCAGAGAAGGGAGAGACGGCCTGGCTGAGCCACCAGCCCCACTCTGGGCCAAGAGAAGGACGTGGGGGCCGTGCTACAGCCAGCCCTTGGCCAAGGGTGCATTTCAGCCTCACCACAGCTCGGCGGGGTCAGGACACCTAATGTCACTGCGCAGCTGGGGAACCGAGGCTCAGAGACGCCAAGCAACCCGTCCTCTGGCCCTGGGGAGCAGGAGAGAGTCCCAGGAGCCACGGGAGGACGGGGGCTTTGGAGTCGGGAGAAGCAGGCTTTGTGACTCAGTCCCCATGTGACCTCAAATCTCTGAGCCTTGGTTTCCTCACATGTAACACAGGCATGGCGCTGGGCCGTTTGTGAGGATCAAGAATGAAATCAGTGTGAGATTTCACACTTGGGGCCTGCGCACAGCACGGCCTTCCCTCCTCCTTCACCCACCGCCACTCACTCTGCTCCCGAGCTGTCCCAACACCCGGGGTCCTGCTCCCTCGCTCAGAAGGGAGGCCTCCGTGCCCGCCTTGCCCGGTTTGGCTCTGTCCCTGCAGCCCCCACAGTATTGGTCTGTCTTTTCTTAGCTGCTGAGCCCTCTGGTCTCATGAAATCTTTTATGGGAACCCCAGCTGAGGGAGGCTGGGAGCTCTGGGCCCCCAAGGTCTCTGCAGACACAGGCTGTGGGGAACTCTCTCTCTCAGAGACAGAGACACGCACACAGGCACGCACGGCAGCCCACCCCGCCAGCTCACCAGGTGGGATGAGGACATCAGGCGTCAGGCCAGCCTCTAGGGGCAGGACGTGGAACAGGACACGGCAGCCGGGCCCCTCGGGGCTCTCAGCCCCCACGCACACCTGCGGTAGCTCCTTCCCGTCCAGCACCAGTGGCTCCAGCATCCTTGCTGGGCTGGGCAAGGGGCTGGAGAAGTTCTGGGGGCAGCAGGGGTGCTCAGGTCTCCATGTCTCCCCTCAGGCCCCCTGCCACCCGCCTGAGGGTCCCCTTGCCTCCGCCCACCCGCTCACACCTTCAGCAGCAGGAACTTCTGCAGCGGCTCGTACCACTGCAGCAGGAGCAGGCTGGCGGGCAGGGCGGCCAGCAGGAAGGTGCTGCCCGTGTAGGGGTTCCGCACTGCGAGAGAGGCAGGCCATGGGCACCAGGCTTCGCCTGCGCCCCGACCCCTCCCTGGCCCCGCCCCACCCAGCCCTTACCCACGCGACACTGTAGGCAGCCTTTGGTGTCAGGAATCTTGGTGGACAGGGCAAAGCGCCTGTAGAAATGACAACCAGGGCATGTGTCACAGGTGCCATCATGGGCGAGGCCTGTGCAGAGCTCTAGGAGGTGGGTACTGTCATCTTGCCCGCCTTACAGGTGAGAGACAGGCTCAGAGAGGCAAAGCAACTTGCCCAAGTAACACAGCTGTGAAGGGCACGGATCTGAAGCCTGTCTTGTGGCTTCAGCTCCCACCTCCACAGCCTACAACATCTCTGTCCAGTCCAGGGGTTTGGGGCACAGAATTACCTCTAACTGTGCGACTTTGGGCAAGTCACTTAACCTCTCCACGCCTCAACTCCCTCATCTGTAGAACGGGGATAACAGTGGCGCCCACCTCACAGGGCCGCAGTGAGGATTAAATGAGTGAACACGGGGGAAGGGCTTACAGTGGAGCCCGGTGCTCACAAGGGGCTGGCTTTTATCATCCGGAAGGACTACTTTCCACCTATTTCCAGTCCTTGAAATCCCTTTTAGGCGAAGGCAGGGTATAAACGAAGAAATGAATGAAGAAATGAGAGCATGGAGGGCCTGGGTCACAGGTGGGCACATAGGCCCAAGGAGGTTAAGGCAAATGGGTGGCTCCCCTTGGTGCCCGGGGGGGAAGTGGGGTCCTGTCTTGGTTACTGGTTGTTCCCCAGACCCCCAGGGGACCTTCCGAGCCTGTGTCCTCCTCTGGGGAACAGGGCTACATGTCAGCAGCCCTGCCACCTCCTCCCAGCGACCTCGGCCCTGTCTGCGCCTGCTACTAGGATGTGGGCCCCGCCGAGGAAGCCAACGCCTGTCTCTCTCTTTCCCTCTGTCCTCACTCTCCTCTCTCCCCAGTTCCTTCCCCTCTCCTCCCCAACTGGCCTTCGGATGGGACAAAGGCAGATATTTTTGTATTTGTTTTTTTCTCCAAATAATTCTCGTTCTCCGCTCTCTACATTCGAAGTGGCCTCTGTGACTCTGTGATTTCCCAGACGCACGCCCAAAGCTGCCTGTGACTCGTTGGGGCTGACAGGCCTGTTTGCTGCAGGTCCTGGGCCAAAGCAGAGACCAGCCTGGGGACTGGGCTCAGGAAGCCCTGAGGCCACGGGGCTCCAGGTGCAGTCCCGGAGTGAGCACGCCGCAGGAAGGGCTGGGCCCCAGCTGCTGCAGCCACTGGCCCGGCCTCACCCGCCTGGCCCACCGGCTGCCACCACCGCCCTGCGTCATAACAACGTCTAAGCGCACAGCCACCCCCACCCGAACTCAGCCTCGCCCAGCCCACAGCTCACAGAGGCCCCACTTGCACATCTCACGCTCAGTGTGACAGCACTGAATTCTGCACCAGCCACGGCTGATGACAGCTCCATCCTTCCCGCTGCCGAGTCCAAAAACCCTAGTCATCCCTGACTCCTCTCTCTCTTCCATCCACCAAGCGTCAGGAAATCCTGTTGGTTCAGCTTCCAAAATAAAACCATAATCCAACCACTTTTCTTCTGCTTCATTGCTGCCCTGGCCCAAGCCACCAGCTCCCACCTGATGACTGCACTGGCCTCCTGACAGGTCTCCTGCTTCCACACTGATCCCCTCCAGTCTGTTCTCAACACAGCAGCTAGCGTGATCCCATGAGAACCTCAGTCCACGTCGCTCTTCTGCAGTGGCCCTCAGGCTTTCTGCAGTGGCCCTCAGGCTGCTCTGAGTCAAAGCCAGAGGCCTCATGTGGCCACAGGGCCCTCCCAGACATCTCCCTCTCACTCCATCACCTGGCGGCACCAGCCTCCTTGCTATTCCTCAAACAGGCCAGGCCCACTCCTGCCCCAGGGCCTTTGCACTGGCCATCCCCTCCCTCTGGGAAGACTTTCCTCCAGATGTCAACAGGCTCGCTCCATCACCCCTTCCAAGTCTTTGCTCAAACAGCACCGTCTCGACAGCGAGGTCCTTCCTCACCACCCTGTTTAAAACCACAAGCCAGGCCCCACCCCCCCCCGGCCTTCCTTCTCCCTGCTCTTCTTCATGTACCACTTTCCCCTATGCATCACCACAGAATATGCTGCTTTTTTGTTGGCTATTTGTTGTTTGTCTCTCTTGACAAGAAGGTCTGGAGAATATAAGGGTCTCTCTAGTTCACAGATGCATCTCATGCCCCCAGAACACTGCCTGGAACATCCTAGGTGCTGAGTGGATGTTTGTTGAATGACTGAATGAGGGACTCCACCTTGAACATCCCGGGCACTTGATAAAACATGCAATCTGTTCCTCCTCCCAATCCCTCCCTCTCCCTCAGACTCACTCCCATCAGACCCCAACTCCTGTCAATCCCACTTCCTCAATCCTGCTCGGGTCTGCCAGTTGTCACCATCCCATAGCCTAATCCCCATCGCCTGCCAGCCAGCAGATGCCTCTTGTTTTCCTCTGTCCCCAAAAGCCCCTCTCTCCTTCCCTGCAGCTCCAGGAGGGGGCACGTGACCCAGGCCTGGCCCCCTGAGCTCCTCGTCCCCTGGCCACAGCGACTGGCTCAGGGGTGGGCATGGACCTAAGGTAGACCAGTGAGGATGGGCCCCAGGACTTTTGTGGGAATTACTTGGAAATAGAGGTTCTAGTTAGCTAATAGAAAGCTGGCCTGGAACTGTGGGCAGCCATCACTGGACAGGAGAGCCTATATGAGAATGAGGGCGACAAGAGGAAAACAGACCCAAGAGACGCAGGGAAATTCCTGATGATGCCATTTAAGCCTGGATCCAGCTGGGCCTAAAGCTAACCCTACTCCCAGACTTTCAGTTACAGGAGCCATGAAATTCCCTGTCGTCCTTAAGCCAGTGAGCTGAACCACCTCCAACAGGAAGAATCCTGATTGACATACAGAAGGATCCTTCTGAAACACTCACGGCGCCACTGCCAGTTGAATGTCTCGGCTTGGCGTCAAGGGAGGCGCTCTGCCACCTGTGCAGCAGCTTCTCGGCTGCTCTGCCCTCCTCCCTCAGGCCAAACACCTATAACGCCCCAGATCTCCCACAGACATTTGCTCTCGCTCTTCCCTCTGCCTGGAATGCTGTTCCCTAACCCATCTGCCTGGAAGACTCCAAGCACTTTCAAACCCCATGAGCTCCTCTGAGGCCTCCTGCCCCTCCCGGCTCTCCCTCTAGTTCACCGCAGAACCAGGTGCTGAGAGTGATTCCTCATCTCCACGCCCAGCCTAAGACCTGGCACGTAACAGTGCTCAGTGCTCAGTACCCGTCTGCCCTGCCTCCTCACGAGCACGGCTCCCAGTTTGCCAAGCCCTTGCACATCCACCATCTCCCTGCCTCCCAATAGGCCTGGGGACAGGGGCAGGGGGGCTATCAACTGCACTGACAGATGGGGAAACTGAGGCTTGGGGAGGCAAAGTGACATGTCTAAGATCACAACAGTCCCAGGAACGGGCAAGGCCCTACTCCACCCCAGCTCTGCCCCTCTGCCTCCCAGCTCCCCTCTCCCCTGCACATCCCGACTCCCCCAGGGGCCCCGACCTGGGGATGATGCGCTGGGTGAGGCGGTTGGTGGGGATGGAGAGGGGAACCTGCTGCTGGAGGCGCCGCTGCTCGAACAGGCCCGGGAGGTCGTGGGCCCAGATGTGCGTGGATTTCCCTGCCGGGGAGGGAGAGGGGGCTCAGAGAGTGATGTGGGTGGGGTGCGGGCCCCGCCCCTCCCTGCCCCAACTGGTACCTGAGAGCGACAGCAGCACGTTATTCACACAGTAGAGCCAGGCACAGCGGTGTGAAATCAGCTAGAGGCCACAGAGCCACAGAGGGAGAGGGGGTCAGCACCCCAGGCCCCCCAGGCCCTCTGCCCTCCACAGCCAGCCGGGCCTCACCTTCTCCAGCGTATCCTCATGCAGTTCATGCAGGTTGAGGGTGTAGATGCCCTCCTCCGCCCCCACCACCAGGAACTGGTCTGCAGGTTTGAGTATGGGGTCAGAGGTCAGTCACGCCCCCTGGCCCAAGCTGGACATTCCCAGCTCCTGCTTCCTCCCTGCCACTGGCCTACCCCGGGTGACGGGGTGAATCCAGGTGACAGCAGCGTGGATCCGCAGGGGGCAGCCATTGAAGACCTTGGAGAAGCAGGCGCCCATCTGGGGGGAAGCAAGAGGCCGGTTAAGAAGCACAGGGGCGGTGGGCAGTGGGGCTGCGGAGAGCAGGGCTGCGGGGCAAACACTTACGTGCACCTTGGGGGTCGGGGGGAGCCCGTGGCAAGACGATCTCTGGGACAGAGGGAAGGAGTCAGGGCTGAGAAGACACCCAGCCTCCCATCTCCCCAGCCCCTCTGTAGCACCCCCTCACCTCAGGATCCAGCCGGTGCTTCATGGTGGCCCAGGCAGTGGGGAGCAGTGGCGGGCTGTCAGGGGCTGGGAGAGGAGGGGGCGGGGTTCCTGTGGGCACAGATCCGCAGTGAATTCCAGCCCAGCCCCCACCCTGGGCCTGTCTCCTGGTCCCCCAGGCCTGGGACTCACCTGGGGGGCTGCACAGAGAATCCTCAGCTAGGGGCTCAGGGGAGGACGACCCCAAGAATGGGGACCGCTTGATGGTTCCCATGGCATCATCTGGGGAGTCCAGCTCCTGGCAGGAGGGTTGGGGGCCCCGCCCGGCTGTGAGCAGGTCACCCTGTAACCTTGTCCCACTCCAAGTGCACCCTCTCGGGCACTCCCCCCCATCCCCGCTTCACTCTGTACCTGGACTTCCAAGGCTGGCCGGATGGTCAGGCTCCTGTGGAGGAGGTGTGAGGTGTGACTGGGCCCCAGGCCCGGCCCCCTCACCCCTCCTCCGGGCCCAGCCCCTCACCTTTCCTCCAGGGCCTCCTGGACAGACTGCAGCAAGCTCCTGGGCAGAGAAGGAAAGGGGTCAGAGGTCAGCATTTTCTGCCACCCCCAACCCCTCCCCTGCAGCTTCCCTCTCCTCACTCACCCACTCAGCTCCTCCTTTCCCAGCAGCGTCCACTCCTCCTCCCACTGTGGGGAAACCGAGTCAGAAAGACCGGGAGAGAGGCAGAGAGACAGAGAGGCAATGTGAGAGGCAATCGAGAGACTGTGGGAGAGACAGACAGACAGATGGAAAATGAGACGGTAACAAGCGAGAGACTCGTGTGAGAGAGACAATGAGAGGCAAAGAGATTAAGAAAGAGAGAGACAGACAGACAAACTGGGAGAGAGAAAGAATGAGACAGAGATAGAGCAAGGCAAAGAGACTGAGATTGTGGGAGCCAAGAGAGATGCTGATGAGAGACAGCAAGAGAGCAGAGAGATGGTGAGTCAGACAACTGGTGACAGACGCAGAGAAAACACACTGAACAGGGTGGGGTGGGGGCTCAGATGTGTGACAGCCCCACTTTTTAGAAAGGCAGGGTCACCCTGCCACCCTCCAGCTGACTATCCAAAAGACCTTAACACAGGAAGGAGCCCCCAGCTCTCCGTGTGCCTGGGAGGGACAGGCCTGCTGGGACAGCCTTCCCAGACCTGATGGCCAGGTGGCCCCGGCTTCAAGGCTCCTGGAGTTGAGATGCTTGACCTCCAGCATAGCCCCCAACCCCCTGCGCACCACCCCGCCCACAGCCAGCCCCTCACCGGCTCATTGAGGGGGTCCGTTTCCTTCCTCCGTGGGGCGCCAAATTTCACCTGGTGAACTGGGGGGCCGAGATACACGGGTTGGGGGGGCCAGAGTCTCAGGACTGACCCCCACACTCACACCAAAGCCACACACATAGCTCCCCCCCAAATCTACATGCACAGCTCCCCACCAATTCCACACATATGCCCCCCAGCAAATCCACACACACGCCCCCCCCCCAGCAAATCCACACACATGGTCCCCCCAAATCCACACACAGCCCCCCCAGCAAATCCACATACATGGCCCCCCCAAATCCACACACAGCCCCCCACCAAATCCACACACATTTTCCCCCCAAATCCACACACACAGCCCCCCAGCAGACTCACACTGGATCTCCGAGGGGGTCCTCTCGGCCGGGCCGTGCTGCCCCCGGGAATGAATGGTGTCTGGAAACATGTCATAAGTCTAAGGAAGAACACAGTGGACACACACACAGCACTCGCCTCACGCAGGTATCCTCTGAGGTGCTTTACACACATCGATGTGTTTTGTGTTCACAACAAGCCTCTGAGGCACCCTCATTTCACAGCTGAGAAAGGCAGCACAGAGAGGCAAGTAACCGGCTAAAGATCACACAGAAAGCAGAAGATGGCTGAGCCAGGGTCATGCTGAGCCAGGGCCAAGGGCAGAAACCTAGCAAGGGGATGCAGGGAGGCAAGAAGATTCCTAAGGGTGGGCTCACCTGGAGGGAAGCTCCCTGGGCTAGAAATATACAAGTTAAAGAGACTTGGACTCACATCATCTCTGTATTCCTTACAACCAGGCCGGGCCGAGACCCGTCTCCCCAGCTGCCCTCACTTACCTCTAGGTCACAGTCTTCTGGGGAGGGGGTTCCCAGGTGGGGGTCATTGGCCTTATCCAACAGCTGCGTGAGGAGGGCCCGAGGGAGCTGCTGGGTTGTGAAGGGGTGCTGGAGGATTGAGGGGGCACTGGTTGGTTCCTGGCCTCCAGGCCTCTTTCAAGTATCAAGCCCTCCCACCCCACCCCTTGCCTCCCACCTGCAGAAGCTTCTCTGCTGTTGGCCTCTTCTTGGGGTTCTTGGTCAAGGCCAGCTTGAGGAAGTGGTGGAAACTCTGGGTCCTAGTGGGCACAAGAGCCCCCCGCCCCAGACCCAGGTTAGCCCTCATGAGGGCCAGCAGCCACCTGCCACCACTCCAGAGGAGTCCGCTGGGCCCACTCAGGAAGGAGCCCGCCAGAGGCCAAAGGCAGCTGGCATGAGCAATACTGTTGTTGCGACATGGCAGCTCCTCTACCATCACCATCTGCCCTTCCTCCCTGCCTGCAGCAGGTCCCTGGCCCAGAGGTGGGGCCCAGGCCCCTCCTGCAGATGGTCTGCAGAGGCCCAGAGAGGGCAGGGCTCTTGAGGCTGTACCCTGGGAGTCAGGAGAAGGCTCCTCCACCCCCATGGGACCTGGCTGCAAACGGGCCCCCAGCAGGGGGATGTGGGCCCTCACCAGCGAGTCTTGTCTCTCAGCTTGGGCGGCTGGAAGCTGCTTTTGGACATGAGCATCAAGGCTCTGTGGAGAGCACAAGGTCGGGGTCAAGGGTCAGCAGGGCCCTCGGGGGGAGGCAAGGGGCAAGTGTTCGGCTGACCTCATGGGGTGCAGATGGAACAGAGGGGGCTGCAGCTCGGCCAGCTCAATGGCAGTGATGCCCAGGGCCCAGACGTCACACAGCTCATTGTAGCCACCTTTGCGCTCCACAGCGGCCACCTCTGGGGCCATCCTAGAAGCCATGTCACAGACGGGATGGCCAGGTGCCCCACCTGTGGCCCCCGCCCCCTCAGCCCGAGGCACAGCCTCACCAGTATGGAGTCCCAATGAAAGACCTCCTCTTAGCCACGGACGCCGTCAGCTCGCCTGACACCCCGAAGTCAGCTGCGGGGAGAAAGTGCTGCTCTCACCCACCCCCTGGCTGCCACTCCCCACGCCCCTCCAGGGCTCAGGCTCAGCATGCACCTGGCAGCGCTCAGACAGCAGGCGGCCCAGGTTTGAGTCACAACTGCCACAGGCCCCAGGCAGAGCCAGGTCAACCACCTTCTCTCCCTGACCACGTGCCTGGTCCCACGTTAGACCAACTACATCCAACTTCCAGTGGGAAGGGAGGACTGTTCCACTTTCTAAATGGGGAAACTGAGGCTAAGGCAGTAAAGTGACTTGCCCAAGGACACCGGGCACCTGGATGCAGGCTCTGACTCCAGAAGCCCCACAGAACCCTCACCCTGATGTGTCCCCGGGGTACTGACCCAGCTTGACATCTCCCTGGAGGGTGAGGAGAAGGTTGGCTCCCTGTGGGATGGAGGAGAGAGATCCCGTCTGGCGCCCGCGAGAGCCTACTCCTTCCTCCCACGATGCCCTGGGCCAGACCCCTACCTTGATGTCTCTGTGGATCTTCCCGCGCGAATGCAAGTGGAGCAGACCCTGGGGACAAAGAGGAGGCCCTGAGAGCAGCCACCAGCACTATCCCCTCCCCGGAGACCCCTCCCAGAACAGGGGCCCCCCACCCAGCTGCTTCCTCCTCCCCTCTCCCCAAACAGGAAGTGGCTGAGCCAAGAGGGAAATGGGCTGCTTCCGGCAACAAGGCTGGGGCCCTTTCCCCCCAGGACCCACAGCCCCCCAGGCCAGCCCCCCCCCCACACACACACACTGGCCAGCTGGGCTCCCTGCCCACAGCTCCTGGGGACTGGGGGTGTGAGCAGCCTTACAGGCCCAGCTACCTTCAGTGCTTCCCGGCAGACATAGGCAATCTGCCGTTCCTCCAAGGGCCCGGTGGCTGAAATGAAAGGGGTGAGAGCTGGCACGGGGGTCTAGGGGATATGTTAAGGCCACCCTGTGCAGGGGAAGCAGCAGGCACTGCTAGGCGAAAGGGGTGTTGTTGGCCACGTCCCTTCCCAGCATAGTCTGGGATGCAGAGCCCAGAGAAGGACAGCATTTCTCTCAAGGTCACACAGCCAGTGAGGAGTGGAGAGGGGCCCACGTCCAGAGTCCCAGCTCTCCCCTCGTGCCCCACGTTGGGGTGGGGGATGGGAAGATGGTTGTGGTCCTCTGGGCCTGGAGTCCCAGTCCTCACCGTGGTAAATCTCCTGCAGAGACCCCCCACCGCAGAACTCCATGCAGATCCACAAGCGGTCATTCCTGGAGGGACACAGAGCTGGGGTGGGCATCCAGCAGGGCCACAAGGGGGCTGCCTGGGAGTGGGTAGGGGGTAAAGCAGCCTCACCTGAGGTAGCTGCCAATGTAGGCCACCACGTTGGGGTGGTGACACTCACGCAGGATGGTGATTTCCTGCTGGAGGGAGCTGATGTCGTCCCCTGGGGAGCACAGGGCATCATGGAGGGGCCGCATCGGGTCGTCCTAACTCAGTGCCCCCATCTGCAAAATGGGCACAGAGCGCTCCTCCCTCCAGGCCAGACAGGGGCCCCGGCCAGAGCACCTCCTGGGGCCTGCCCCCGGGCGTCTCGGAGAGGTCAACTCTCGCCCCGCACACCGCGCCCGCGCGGCGCTCTGCCCTCCCTCCGGCGCAGAGGCCCTGGCCCCGCGCCCTCACCTGGGTCTAGCTTGACTATCTTCACCGCGGCCAGTTCGGACGTGACCGTGTCGCGGGCCTGCAGGGGCGGAGGGGGTGAGGGATGAGGAGGG